TAATAATAATAATAAATTTTATTTGTAATGCACTTTTCATTTGATGCCAAATCTCAAAGTGGTACAGAGACAGATTAAAAACAACAAAAATATCAATAAGAAAACAGTCAGTATGAAAGCAATTAAAAGAGCAAATAAAATATACATATAGGCTTTAATCACGGTAAATTTTCTTAAAGAGGACAGTTTTAAGTCCTTTCTTGAAGGCATCAACCGTTTATGGAGATCTAAGATAATCCAGAAGGGCATTCCAGAGACGGGGAGCTGCAGCCACAAAGGCTCTGTCGCAGCCTTGTCCTGGACCAGACGATGCTGTTGGCCAGACCTAGTCCGGGTAGATGTTTGGGGTGTGAGCAGCTCCGTGAGGTAAGTGGGGGCCAGTGCAATAGAATGGGGGTGTTGTGCTCATGTTTCTGCACCTTCATCAGGATCCTGGCAGCATTGTTCTGAACATGCTGGAGCTTTCTGAGACTCCTGCCAGGAAGTCTACTGAGGAGTGCATTACAATAGTCTAGCCTGGAGGAGACAAAGGCATGGGCGAGTTTCTCCACTGTGGGAAAGGAAAGGGAAGTGTGTACCTTGGAAATGGTACAGAGGTGAAAAGGTGAGGTTTTGTAAATAGAGGTGATGTGACTGTTTTATGCTTTCTTATACAAGTTAAAGAATTTCCAGCTACATTTGAGCTGTTTTACTGCAAATTTGTAGCCTGGTCCTTGCCTTCCCATGCAGTTCCGCTCAATTTTAGTTTCGATTCTCTGCTCTGTCTGGGATTTCTCCCATAGACAAGGATTTCTTCTGGAGCATTTCATTCAGGCCAATCAGAGGACAGAAAGTCGATTTTCTGTGCAATGTCTGCTTGTAGTTAATTTTACCTGGGCCAATCAGCAAACAGAAGGCGGAGTTTTGAACAACGTTGATTTTCTGCGCAGTGTCTGCTAGTTAATTTGGCACACGGCAGTGGAGGAAGTGAATGAAGCCACTCTGTGTTGATAAGGCTTCCAAATTAAATTAAATTTGTCTGATAAAGCAGCAGCTCTCATTTACAGTCGTCTCATTCGGCTCAATACTTCTCTCCTCTCAGTAGGGTTGTTTACAGCTCACCGGTTAGCTTCTTAGCTTAGCCTCCTTCACAGCGACATAYGTCGTGGCCAGCCGATCCAGTCATTTTAAACTTCAGCAGAGGCCACGCCTCCTGCAAGAATTGCTTCTCTGTAGCCAAGAGTCCAGACCTTCGTACGAAGCAAAGCAAAGGACATGGGTCTGGTTTTGACCAGGCTAACAAATTTGGGCTTTTATGTTTTTATTTTTTTATTCTGTCTATTTTTTCACACTTTCACCATATGGGTGTAAATTTAAACTTGTGGCTTCTACATTTAGCTAATTTGTATTCAAATTGTAGCTTTTTTTTCCCTGCTATGTCAGCAATAATTCTGCTCCTTTCTGCTATCCTTCTGCTAATTTCTACTTTTTGTGGTTCTTTTAATTTCTTTCTGCAAATCTTAGCTTTTTATGCTTCTTTCACTCTTCAAATAAATTTGTATTAAATTTTAGCTTTCAGCTTAAATTTTCAGCAATAACCATTCACACTACCATTTTCACAGAAAAGGCAGTTTCTCTTACGAGACTTAAACTAAATAACAAACTGAATGAGGCAGAAATCCTGAGTGTAAAGAGTTTTTTTCAGCAATTTGTTTTTAATTGCAGCATTTTCTGGAAGTTAGAGTTGAATCTGCACAGAGTGCTCCATCAGAGACGAATGAAACAGCTTTCATTGGGCTGCATTTACAGTTTGCTTATTTACACACTGATCTTTCTGATAGGATCTTTACTGTGAATTGGTGCTTAATGATACAGAACTGATCTGAGCTAGTTTCACATGCACCTATGTGTTGGGTTATCTCATAAATCGTTTGACATGTTACCCTTCTTGACACCAAAGAGACAAGAAGTGAAAAAAAGATGTGTTGCATTTGACATTTAGAGCATCCTGTGTCGTGTTGAAACCTCTTACTGTGGTTCATAGCAACATCATCTCTCTCTCTCTCTCTCTCTCTCTCTCTCTCTCTCTCTCTCTCTCTCTCTCTCTC